GTCGGGACCCCCACTTCCCTCGCTGCCTATGTCCTGTCCCGCAGGAGGGTGCCCCACGCTCCCCCTGCCCCTGGAGCCTCTGTCCACACGCATCCCCAGCGGTGCCCGCACGCATCCCCAGTGGTCCCTGCACGCACCAGCCTGTGCTAGGTGTTGAACCAGCTCTCCAAGTCAGGATAGAGGTGGCCACGGGACAGGCTGGGGGAGGCAGGGCAGATGGGGCAGGAACGCTCCCTCCAGCACCGCTCCCTCCAGTCGGCGTAGAGCTTCACCCTGAACCTCTGCTGCCAAGCGAAGAACTGCTGGTAGCGGCTGGAGTTCATGCTCTTCAGGAACGTGGCCAGCTCTGCCAGGGAACCGAAGTCATCCACGTGAATGAAGGAGTCTGCAGGAATGAACTTCTCGTAGTTGGCCCGGGGAGGCCCCAGCACCACGGGCACCGTGCCAGCCATCAGCGCGTTCCTCCAAAGCTTCTCGGTGATATAGTCCCGGTGGATGGAGTTCTCAAAGGCCAGGTAGAACTTGGACTGGGATGTTGTTGGCAAGAGGCAATCCTTGCAAAGTGGCTTCTTGTTTGCTTTCCCGTATATGTTCACCGGCAGGTACTTGGAGAGGTTTTTGTAGACCTTGGCTCGTTTCTGAGTCCTGTGGTAGTTGCTGATAACCCAGGACACCAGGCTGGTCTTGGTGGGGATGTTCACCGTGGCCGAGGGGCTGGGCACGAGCTTGCCATAGGGGATGAAGATGTCTGAGTCCTGTCTGTAAGTCATCACCCAGTTGAAGGTCTGGTTCCATCCCGCCAGACCTTTAGTGTTGGAGGGGGACTCCAGGGAGACCCACACCCAGTTCTGCCCCGGCGGCCTCTCCCTGGGCAGCGTGCCCCTGCCAGCCTGGAGCCTGGTGTGTGGGAACACCACCACATCTGCCCGGGCCAGCAGCCACCTCTGCGTGGTGAGGCGGCAGCCCGCGATGCCGTACAGCTCACGGCACACGTCCCCGCTGATGTTGGGGACCTGCTTCGAGGGCCACTCCCACACCAGCACCACCAACGGCTCCCTGTGCTTGGAGACCTTGGAGGGGTGGAGGAAGAACCTCAGGTTCCAGAGGGTGGCCACAAACAGCCCGGCAGTGTGAGCACGGCCGTCAGGGCGGGCCGGCCCCACGGCAGCCGTGGCAGGGGCGATGCCAGGGGCATGTGGCGAGGCTGGCTGGCACCCTCCTGGCTGACAGAGCTGACACCTGGGAGAGAGGAGAGCCCACCAAGGGCCATCAGCTCAGCTTGCTGGGGTGAGGGGTGGTGGGGAGGTTTGGGGCTGGAGGAAAAAGCATCACACCCCGTGCACCTGCCGTCACCCTGCAGTGGCTCTTGTGTCACCCTCTCCTGGTGCCCAGTGTCCCAGTCTGTGGGGAGAGCAGGGGTGCTGCCGAAGGGAGGTACAGAGGGGCAGCCACCTGTCCCCCACCCCAGCCAAGCACTGCTCCTCATTGCACACACGAGGGGTGCAGTCCTTGGCACTTGCTCAGTGCCCCAGTTTCTCCACCTGACAAACGGCCATGGTCCCACTTTACCCTTCTTGCTTTACAGAAGAAAGGTGCTCGGGGGTTTGCAGGATGGGGCCATGCACCAAAGGCTGAAGAACATCCCACGTCCTGCCTGAACAGCCCCACGGTGGGGCCCCAGCAGTGAACTGAGGTGTCCCAGTGACTAAGAAGCCTGAAACTCCGCTCAGGGTTGGAGGCTGCTGGACTGGAGCGTCCTGCCCGAGAAGTGCCCCTCAGCCCAGCACCCTCCTGCAGTGATTGCAGGGCTTGCCCAGGCTCAGGGTGCTCACTGCAGGCTTGGGGTGCTCTCCCCAGACACCAAGGGCAGGGGGAGCCCTGGCAGGCTGGCAGCTCGCAGCCTTGGTGCCCCAAACACGCCTATTTTATTTGTGGGGTGTCACAGATGGCCAGTGCCCCCCAGGCAGGGCAGGGAGCCGTTTGGGACCGGAGCTGGTGAGGCCCA